TAGAATGATGCACACTGCAACACTATATTGACAAATGATTACAATGTTGTTATAAAATTGTACATTGCAGCATATGTCTCGGCAAGTTGTTACAAAAATGTTCTGTGCAGCATCTATCGACAGTCACCGCGTTACAATGTACATTGCAACATACATGTATATGTATTGACAAATGATTACAATGCTGTACAAAAATGTACTTTGCCACATATCTCCCGACCTGTGGTTACGACAAGGTGTGCTATACAGTCATATGCATCTGCTCTCGATAAGATAGCTGCCTCAGTGCCGCGGTACCGCGCAGATTTTGTAGGGCTGTGGTTCCAGCATGATGCCTATTGTTCCCTCCGTGTCCGGCTGTGGAGCGCCCTCTGGTAGTTTGAAGGTGAAGTTCTGCATCAGGCTGGTGAATATGACGAAGGGCATGTGATGGGCAATCTGCTGACCGGAACATATCCGCCGACCTGGACACAAGGAAGAAGTAATCCGGATGAGTTCATTACTCCAACAAACAACAAAGTATCAAAGTATGAAGAGTCAGACTGTTGTATTGAACAGGTTTTGCAACAAGTGATATGTTCTATACCCCGCCTACAATCCGTCACGACCCTTCGTTATTTCATATATTTTGTCACATGTGCTTTAATTAGTTTATATTTATCACGGAACGGAATGATCGTCTGGCAGACTGACCTGCGCCAAACGGCTTGAACTGCGGGGGGATGACCACGTGACCGTCGCTGTCCAGGAAGCGCGCGGGGTCGAACGTCTCTGGGTCAGACCAGGTCTCGGGGTCGTGGAGGATGTTCCAGTTATTCGACAAGACGATGGTGTTGGCTGGCAGCTCGTAGTTCCCTGTCGAAAGACGTGTGAGGGGAAGATGAGAAATCATGGACCACGCTTGATTAACAGTCAAGGTTCAGCTTCTTGCCCGGCCATCTTATCTTTTTACAACACAAGGCTGATTACCTGAATGTCGCTACTACATTTTCAACACCAATGCCATACAATGATCTGATGTAAGGTCATGTCAGTGTACCAGAGGAGCGGTCTCTTAAGGCGAAGCGGCCAAATAAACACGAAATGAGTTCAAGCAGCCACTTCCTAACTTAACTAGTTCCACTCCGCATGTGATATTAAGTGAGACAAGTCAACATAAAGATTTCCCAACATTTGCTCAACTCACTTAGTTTCACTGCGCGCTTGGTTTTCCGTCCGTTGATCGGCGCCAGGGGTCTGATTCGCAGAATCTCCAGAATGGCGGCGTGGGTGTACGGCAGGTGCTGGCGGAGGGATATGCTGATGTTAGTGTTCGGATCGATGACGTCATCTATTTCACGCTGGACCTGCCGTAAACAACAATAAAAGGGAAAAAATGGGTTAAGTATTTTTAAGAAGTTCAAAGGCCTTTGAAGGAACTGAGGGATGAAAGAAATAAAAAAAGAAGAAAGGAAAGGAAAGGAAGGAAAAAAGAAAGCAAGTAGGAAAGAAAAAGAAAAAAAATGATAACAGCTTTGGTCTTTTAATTGCATTCTTACCTTTTTCTGTATTTCAGGGTTGAGGGCCATGAACAAAATGCCCCACCGGACAGCGAATGACGAAGCGTCGTTGCCAGAAACCATCAGTTCTACAGCCATGTGCGCTATCTCCTCGTCTGTGAAGACACTCCTGTCGTGGTTACCTTGGGTTTCCTTCAGGTAGGCGTCGACCAGGTCCCGCGTGTGGTCGGGGTCGAAGGTGTCGCGATGCTCGGCGATGCTCTGGTTCACGAACGCCATGATTTTGCGCTTGTTCTCCAGGATCTCCCTGCCGCTGCTGTTCATGGCGGGGATGTGCCTCAGGAACGGGAAGACGTTCAGCACGCCCACGTTGGTCATGTTCCTTGTGACGTTTTCCAAGCTTTTCATCACTTGAGCAAAGTCTTCGTCATGGTAGTCGTGCAGTTTTCCGAACACCATGGAGCAGATGATGTTGAGGGTGGTTACTGTTACGTAGGACTGCAGGCTGAAACAGAAACAGCAATTCTCTTTAAAAACAGAAGTGACTTAAAGCCTGTAATAGAAAACTTAATTGCACAATTGTACGTGGTACCATGTATCAAGATTTAAGGTTTAATCAATATTTCAAATGCTTTTTTTTTATTTTCTTATACGTGGTCTTCCCATAAGATGTTACCACTACTTACTCGACAGGTTTCCCGTTGAAGCTCTTGCTTATTGTCACCAGCTTCCGCGCCTCTTCGGCAATATTCGTGTCCAGTTGCTCGTGCGCTTTCCCGATGCCAAAGTGATGGAAGACCTTGAGGACAAACTGTCGCTTCTTTCTGAAGGCAGGCGTGTCGTCAGCAAAGGCTGTCCCTAAAATGAGCAGATATGGAAAGGTCAGAGATCTTCGCTTTCTTTCGCAATCAACACCGCAATCCACAAAACAGATATCCGGAGAAGTAGAGAAACAACAGACGGCGTGCTTTCAACCTGAAATCGAGTCATCTGTTCCTATGCCCTTTTTCACATCCTAAAAGCTCCGCGGAATGAAGCGGCTTGTTGTATAAACAGAGACTACTCATTACCACATGGAGGCACGTATGATGACTAAGTTAAAATTCATACCGTGTCTTTGGAGGTCGTTGACCTAGCTAAGGTAACATGCAACAATATTCAGAACGGCTAATAGGTCTTCTAGCTTCGCCCACACGCACACCGTACGCATAACACACTTGGTCTGACAAGGCCGTCTTTGTTCAGGCTAGTACTAGTATTGGAAATGCCATCACAATGACAAAACAAAGGACAGAGGAAGGCAGTACTCTGCTAGGAAATGCTGACAACAGGTCTGTCTGTGTGGCAAAAGACTTGTCCAAAACCCACAAGCACGGCGTTTGCGTAAGTTGCTTTTGTCTCGGCGAATCCTAGTTATTATCTGGAGGAGGATGTACAAATACTAGGCGAAGCACAGCCACTTGTGATGTTTCGGGCGACTCCCAGGTCAGTGACCCGAGTGGACGATCTCTGACATTTACATTACATGACGCTGTTTACAATACGTGACTAATATAAGAGATAAGCCAACAGTGATGAAAGATGATTGATGGATCATTGTTATATTTTCAACATTTTGTTGATTCTGAATTTGTATTCAGTTGTCAGGTAAGTGTCAGCCTTTTGGCAAGGGGTTTACACGAAGGATCTATATCTTTAAGGCAAAATTGAGATAAAAGGGTCACTGACATTACTAGTAAAACAAGCATGGGTGGTGGAAAAAGGGAAGAACGTGGCTTGTTTCCTGTATCTGTATACGTATCTGTATATATAGCCGGTGTAACCGCCCTTCGGCGTAACACACCAGCTAACAAAAATGTACGCGATCACACATTAAAAGTTTTTTTGCTTCTTAATCAACTCTTTCACATTCAATAAGTGACTTCAAGTGACTACACAATGAATATTTGTCCACACAGATTGTTGAGGGGCGCTTGTAGTATACCAAGTGAGAGAGGCTACCATAACCAAATTTACTACTGTAACAGTAACCACAGACAGATAGACAGGTTGTTTTCTACCCTAATCAAGGCCGATGGAGCTATTTCACCTTTGTTCTGTTGGGTGAGATAAGGCTATTTTTAGGTCCACTATTTGCTTTCCCTTGCTTATCTTGGGACGTGTAAACAGGTTAATGTCCTGGAATCGTCATGCCGGTCAGTGTTTGAGGTCTGTGCCCGGAGCGGTAACACGGGCCGTGTGACTATCAGATGAGCGGCGGAATGACACCAGATCGTGCACTGCCTGGTAATGCGCTGATTCTGACACGATCGTGCATGGCAAAGGCGCCGTCATTTGTAAAGGGACAACCGACAACTTCACCGAGTTCCCGTTAAGTGTACTACCTGTACTCTGGCTAGACTTGTTGTCTCGGAGACAACAAAGAAAGGTTAATGGTTATGAGTCTTATCACGAAACTGGGCCGCACTGATTTACTCAACAGGCGACCTTACAAACAGACACGTCCGCCCTCGGAATACTGGGCAGGTTTGGTGCAACCAGGTAGAACGCACATGTAAAGACTGCCACATGGCTGACTGCCAACATCTCAGACAGGCGTGTTGTTTTCATGCAACTAAGCCGCGGAACACTATAAGGCCTATTTATAGCAGGGTAACGCTATTTCCAGCCAGGTGTACAGATCAAAGGCCGTGCCGAAGATAACTCCTGACAGAAATAGCCACAGCTGACCTCGAGGTGGTGACAGTGAACGTGAACATGCATTAACTTTCATGTGCCACCGAACGACACAACACTCTGGAAAAACTAAAAAAAATGAAAAACGTCCTAATCAGCTGTTGCCAGGTTTTGAGATGCACTGACTTGCGTCTGTAAAAAATTGCCCCACGTGTGGATTGTCGGAGATGTATTACTAGGCAAAGGAAAAACAGCGAACCCCAGACATGCTGCAGTCAGAATTCAAACAAACGCCTTCTGTTGTTTGGGCGAGCCCGATAAGGCCGAAGGGACCACCTAGAAGCCTAGACGCGCACCTTGTCAATCTGTTAACTCCCGAGAGCGACTGATATAATTTGCTCTCAATCGACACATGTGGAAGAAAAATTACGTTATACAGCAGAAGGGAACTGTGAATCAGATTTAAAAAGAATGGTTACTACCCACCTTTCCCACCGTCAGAGAAAAGCTGATATGCGTAGAAGTCAGGCCTGTCGTTGTAGGCGTCGCCACCGTCGATGTAGCCGTCCTTCAGTGCCTGGTAGCTGTTCAGAACCACGACGTTCCTCGTGCCGAGCTGGGCTTGGAAGATGTCCCCGTGCTTCTTTCCCAACCTCTGAAAGCCAAGGTCTGCCCTGAGTCCTAATGAGGGCAAGTGGCCCAGGATGGGCCAGGCGTTGGGCAAGACGGGGGGCAGCCTGCCGGGGGAGCGGCCCGTCAGGTACCGCAGCATCAGGACGAGAGTGGCCAGGAGCAGGACGAGCGAGGTCGGCTCGGGAGTCAGGAACACCCGCTCCGTTATCCCCGCCGTCAGAGTCTTGGGCTGAATCATCTCGGACGCAGTTGTAGCTTTCGAACAAACTGTGGACGACAGTCAGGTGAATGAAGCTGATAACCCACCTACCAGGCCTTTTATAATCGACAAAGGTCCCGCCTCACTTAAAGAAAACAGGTCATCGTCCAATCAGCGAGCGGGTTGCCATGAGTGCCAGATCCCGGGTGTCAGTGACCTCACCGATCGGGGAACGACCTCTCTTAGCCTGATTACATTTCGCTCCCAGCACAACCCCACCTATCCGCCCGTAACCCCGACTCTCTGCCTAGGCATACACATAGATAACTCTCGAACCTGCACATTAAGTTACCTGGTGACGTACATTAGCACCATGTGGTCCTTGTGAAACTGAGAAAACGCCCAGAACTCGTCTAAACAACTTATGCAAGCTAAATGACTGTGGGACAGAAAGGGGAGCGCAACTGGCGATGTCATTGACCCCAACCGGACGTGCAAATGTTTGTAAATAGCATTTCATTATCGCCGGTTGAAAACACTTAGCAACCATATAGATAGCGACAATACCGGATTCCTTTGCTCCCATGGACAGTACCGAGAAGTGGGACAGTCACTTCCCTACTTTCATTCAAGCTTTGTTAGATTGGAAGAAAATGCATAAAAGATCACGACGCTTGCAAGCACACTTAAGCGTACGGGGCTAACGTTCGAACGTTCCGATTACCTTGATTACATTTGTAAGACAAATATTCGACACCTATATATAACTACTCCAGTTTGCCACGACGTTTGTGGTGGGCAGACAGATCATCAAAACTCCATTGAAATGTTGATGATATAACAGGATTAGTCGGTCTTTCTCTCTTGCCTGGTTTCCTGGGACAGTCTACCGGCATGGTTGCACACGTGCTGTTTTCTCAGCCTAAAAATAAACCGAAGAGCTTTGTACACCCATAGCCCGGGCACGCATGTCATAAACTAATTTCCAAGTAGATCTATCGATGGTGAGGGGCAAAATCTTAACCAACTGAGGAGACAGAATCCAGTAGGCCAGACAGTATCCAATGTAACTGCCTCCTGGATACTGCTTCGCCAGTTGGTTAAGATTTTAAGATCTGCTTGGAGATCATGTCATTACAGCGAGTGAATAGTTGTGATTTTACAATGTAGGTCAGTAGATGTGATGAATGTTCAGTGCACGCGTGTACCCAGCTCGTGTGTAAGATAGTGGGCATTGCACAGTCCGTTACGTAACCATCATCAGTCTCCCGGAAGTACATGACAGGCCGCAGACAAATGAAGAAACAAAAACAGAAATAGGCATAGTAATCATATTATGGAAAGATTTACTAGTTTCAAACACAACGAGTGGACGTCGTCGAAGCTTAAGAGTTTGTTTTTCGTAAAGATGCTTGAAGAAATGTCGAATTTTGTGGAAGTTTCAGGAGGTCGAGAACCAGTGGCAGCATTCCTGTCCATTTGTCGTTTGACATTCTTTTGAACCCTCAACACGAGTCATGTATATTTTCGTCTCAGTGATCCCCGATCGGGTGTCTTCGTGGTTGCCTTACACAAATATCTCAGGTAAAAAGGGCGTGGTTCAACACGGGACTGCGCGCTGGCCATGTCGACAACCCACGCCACCCACCAACTCCCAAACAAAGCCACGCCAAACACCGTAGTAAAATGTAAATTAACCCAATCAAGTAGGTTACCTCCTTGATCCAATAAGCACGTGATTTATTTGAACACAACATACCACGACGCGCGTCGCATACCTGTGATGGCGTGACTAGTAGTAAGCAAATGCCAAATGCCGAAGTACAAACTGGACAAGACCATATGCTAACAAATGCAGAATGCATACATTATATATATATGCCCCACCTTTGTCCAGTGCGTAATCGAAACGTCTTTTGTCCAGGTATGAAGTGGCGGTAATGAGCGGGTTGAACCCCAAGTATATATTCTTATGTGAAGATAACTATAAAAGAGACAAGAAACAAGTCAAACCTGTATGAGGAAGAAAAGTTGATTATGATAGATGTAGGTCAAGAGGTTTACGACCTTTCCTGTGGCAGTTGCGGGGGTTGACACCTGTGACACCATTACAAACCAAGGACAGGAGATGGCATACTTATGGTGTCCCCGGCCGGCCGGCGTCGCCTGTTGCGGCTAGCGACAGCCAACTGATTAAAAATCCTGTATTCTGGTGTCGTTCATTTGGGGAATGTACACCAGTGATTATATCCCAACAATATTCAGAAGTTCGAAAGTCTAGCTTTCTTTCAGATAGGGAAGGACTTTGTGGTGAGGTATGGGATGTATCTAAATAGCCCAGTCTTAAAAAGGCTGGAATGTTTACCGACGTATATGGTGCGTAGGTGTCCACCACTCCCTTGGTATAAAGTGAAGAAAGACTGGCAATGCAAATGTATGAGTAAGCTAAGACTTATGAAGAAGAGGAACTGTGCTGATAATTGTTACTTGAGACTGAGCCCGACTCTAGACAACACGGTTGCGTCGACGTAGCATCGCCACCGTCCAAACCACGCATCTAAAATCACTACATCAGAACACACCTTCCTCTAGATTCTAGCGAGTAAGTATCGACCGTGATGGCAGAGACTGCTACTTTACCACGCAGACACCTCGGATTGAGGTAACGTTACATATAGTCATTCCCTTTCACGATTGAAAGTAAGTTCCTAATGGAAACTGAACCCAGGGGTAAACTTGTACTTGACCGGACCTTGTCCTGCTTGGCCGACATGAGATTACAATCTGGCCCATACCGCACAGCCCGCCGACAGAGAACCACCCACTGATACGACACAGGTGAAAAATAACTGTCGGTGACGCACGACGGCAGGCTCCTGCGTACTCCTCTCCCAGGCGACAACCCCGGGTACTGGGTGGCGGCCACGGGTTCACGACACAATCTGGATGTGATTGGATTTCCTGTTAAAGCGAATTTGAAGCCATACGCACGTGGAATGGCAACCGCAGGCGAAGGGAATCAAACCGGTCTATTTTTACTTCAAGTACAGCGGATCTAAATTTGCGGATGGCAAAAGGTGAAAGAGTTGCCAAGTCGGAAAGAGCTGCCAAGACTAAGTGCGTCTTGCACTTGAACATGACAATGGTCTTCAACCGTTATGGTAAAATCAGACACAAATGGCAAGAAATATATTGAAGATGAATTAACTGCCCTACATATATATAACTGCGCCAGAATCAATGTAAACATGTCATAATTTCTTTGTGACAAATGATGGGAATTTCATGCGATTGTAAGTTTAGTTAAAGATGAACACCATAGATTACTGTTAGATAAAGGTGAACATCACCATAGATTACTGTAAGATAAAGGTGAACATCACCAGTATACATATATAGATCACCAAGTTGGCTAAAGACGAGCATCACCTCCCTTTCATCTCTTTATTCCTTTTCTTCTTTTTCCTGAAAATAAAGGATGTCAGTTTCCCATTTTAATATATATGCAAGCGGAACTAACACTCGCCCGGCCTGGCAAAACTTACACGGGACACAAAGTCCTAGCTATAGCTTAGGGACTGAAAAAGAGGCCAGACTGTATCTGCCTGTATATGTCTGTGGTATACTCGTACATGGTAAGGTAGGCACAGGGTGCCAGTAAAATCCACGATATTACAAACATTCAAGACAGGAGATACAGGGTACAGCGATATGCTGGAAAATCATCCTATTTTTCGGTGGATAGGTACGATTATACTACACGAATGGCGGAATATGAGCATTTGTAGCATTCGCACATAGTGTTTACATAAAATTTGCCTTAAAACACATCATAACATGAATACGCCACTTTGTCATGATATAATATGTTAGCTGAGTGATCTGCCCAGACTTTTATAACTTTGATCTAACCGGCACATTTTTGAAACTGTTGTGGTCCCTATTAACTGGCAGTGGTCTGTCGGAGGTGTGTTTTAGAGCTTGTGTTCTGTGTTTGTGCTCATACGTTCCAGGTGATTTCTTGAGCAGAAGACTACCACAGGCCGTGACTGTTGCCTAAAATAGCCGGCTATGACGCAAATGGGCATCCCTGGGCTTGTAGTTACATTAGGAAGGCCTGGTTGTAATCACGGGCAGACGTCATTGGCAACGCTACCCTGGCGAGTTAGCGCGGCTCGAGCCAGGCGCACGTGGCCCTCATCAGCCCGGGTAAACGTCGGAAGTCTCACATGGAGCCGCTTTGGTAGGTTGTCATGGCAGCGTAGAGGTACGATCACCTTTTATGACGTACGACTTGGACTTCTGTCTGCACCGCGGAACACTGCCAAGGCTTGGAACTAAACTTGGGGCGGCTAGGTTACTTTGTTCGCTAACACTAACAGATGGGTGGAGAGTATCTAAAGGTTGATTTTGATTGCAATTCCAGTCATCTGGCAAGTCTTTTAGAATAAAATTCGCTGCAATAACAGGAAATATACACTAAATGTCAGCAAACACTGCTGGGATCACGTATCACACGGCTGCCTGTAGGAATCTTATCCATAGTGCCACGAAGTTGCCCGTGATGGGTTACCGATACAAAGAGCTAGAGGCAGTTTCTAGTGTGTTACCAACTTGCCATGTCATATCATCATCTTTGTCCCGCCTGGCCATGATATATGCATGTCTGCCAATGGCCAAAACGCCTGACTGAATTGTTTTGTTCCTTTAACATAGACTCTGTAAGTCTTGGTTGCACCTTCCGTGGATACACCGCACAACACAGTCAACAGCGTCAGGCCAAAGGACGGGTCAATGGCCTTTCGGTTTGCCGCACGCACGTTTGGAGAAGAGCACCCCAAGTAGTTCTTGTGGCTCTACGCTTGAGGAAATCAAATCACTGCACCATCTGTCCCTTCTGTACAACATTTTTTCTTACAAGTAGTCGGAAATAAAAACGCCGTGTTCTAAACTGTCCACATCCGACTTTTCTTGTATCGTCCGAAGTTACTATCATGACTATTATTTATCGAACCTGCTCAATAAAATAATACTTATAGAATTCACCACTGGCTATTGCCAGTTGCCCATAATAAACACCATGTCCTTGGACATGGTAGTACGGTAACACTCCCCCTGCGACCCGCTGCCATTGCAAGGTCAGGTGA